AAATGTGCTTAGAAATTGAAATATTTGAAATTACAATTGCTTTTGTCTAAACTTTAGGGACTAGGACCGCTCATGCCCTAAATAATTTGGACCAAAATTGCAATTCTCTGAAATTTAAAAAATTAACTTGATTGTACATTGAGCTAGTTAACCTTCCCACTTATAAACCACGAAGGAATACTAGATAAACAAAGACAAAAGTTTGTTAAACTCCTAGCTAGGAATCACTTCTTTTAACTACTTGGGGAGAAAATCATCGCTTCGCATAATTCAACAAACAATTTATTGTTGTTGGCCTTACATCTTAGTCTATTCATGAACGGTGGGCTGAAATCCTTGTCCATGAAACCATACAAATTCAAGGTAGCCAGGCAATTGCATCATGACAAAATGGAAAAAGAAACAAGAAAGGGATGGATATGGAAATCTCAGTGAACAATAATGACCTGCACCTTTCCTTGAAGCTAAGTACATCGTGCATTATTTTAGTCTGCCTGTAATTGCTTTGATTAGTTCAGCATTCAGGAGAATTTAATGACATGAAGATATTTTTTTACCTCCAAAAAGAATTCAACCAAACCTCATTATCATTTTGCATCGCCCTATGCATGCATTAGAACATGATTTCACTGCACATAATCTCGTCTAACCTATAACAGGTACAGTGTAACTATGATTTGATGACCAAAAAACATGATGATGTTTTTCAATTCTGTGGCGTAGTTATATTTGATAGTGATTAGCACATACAGATGATGGAGTTGGAACTGATTGTCAATAGTTCGGTGCATAGGTGTTGGTGGGAAGACAGCGTCCAGCACGCCATGAGAGACCAAAGAGGGACGAAGACAACCGAAACGAAATTAATGAACACCACCACAAGTATGAAAGTACTTTGCCATAATGTCACATGCTCTGCTGAGGCCGTGTTTGATAATCTAATACTTTAAGATTAATGGATTCAAATCTTAGTATGCTTAGACACGTTTGATAATAAAAAAATAGAACATTTGAATTAATTAAGTGACACTCAATTTCTTATATAAAACTTACTCCAAAAATAAGTGATAAACTATTTACTTATCACTTAATGCGATATGCGCTCAAATGTATCAGATTTAATATCTAACAATTCAGTAATTTAGCACATTCAGATTTCAAATTTTAATTTTCAAACTTCAATTTTATTAAATGCCCTAAATATTCTTCCTAATAGTGGAAAGGACAAGTTTTTTTTCTTTTTTTTTTTAACTTCTTAGTCGTTGTGGTACTAGCTAGTAGTATTCTTCTTCCCTTTCCTTTTTGTATACTTCTCTTTTTTCTTTTTTGACAGATTCTTTTCGTTTCTTTCCTTTTTGTCCTTGGGGTCGTGTTGTGTTTACTAGTATTAAATTGGCCATTCATGGGCGCATTGATTTTATTAGAAAATTATAATATATATATATAACAGCCAGTTTTTCTAACCACTGATAGATGAGGTAACCAATTCCAAATCTAGCAATTTTTTATGCCACAAAGGGTCTAGTGATAATGAAACCGCTCACCAATAATAATGAAACCATTTCACTTCTTGATAGATCAAATTTTATTTTTTTTAATGGCAAAATTAAGTTTCAGTATATTCGGATTTAACTCCCAACTGCCATCTATTTTTTTTTTTAAGTTTCAGCATATTCGGCTTTAACTCCCAACTACAAAGATGGCTTCAAAATTCAGTTGAGACAACCTAGAGTTTGGGGCTGTAATAAAGGTCATTCTCCAATGTCCTACTTAGTTAATGGGCCGATTGCTAGTTCAAATGTTTCCCTGCGGGTTGTAGTTGCCCATTCAACATCAAATTTGGTCCAAAGATTGGGATCACCCACTAACCACTTTGGAACCCTTTCCTTGTACCAACTCGAAGTACAAAGGTTTGGCAATTTATACAGTTAATGCACTACCTCTTTTTATTAAAAAAATTTTTAACCCTCCCACCCATCCCCACAACCTTCCTACATTCAACTGTCACATCCAGAATTCGAACCCTGAATTTGACAGTGAAGGACACTTTAAAAGCCCTCTCCTAATGTACTACTTGTGACTTTTGACTTGTGAAATCGGAGTCTTTAAAAACCTTGACAGACTGCTTGACCATCTTAATTCAGCCATTCAATTTCGCCCTTGGTGAAAAAGGCTAGAGTTGGATACGATAATCTTTTACTCTATTAAGGGGCCAATTTGATGTAAGCGTAGCAGCATTCACACATTGTTCTATATTTCAGGGCCAAATGGATAATTAAAGATATATTAAAATGCGCTCAATAATTGACATAGTTTAACATTCCTAATAGTCTTAGAGGAGTTAAACGGAATCAATCCTTGGATCTAATAGTATAAGATAGCAGGCTTCGGTTTCTTCCCTGTCGCTGCATACATGGCTCGTGTTAAAAAATGAAAAGAAAGACAGAGAGGCGGACGGAGGCCCATATTTCCACAGACCTCTTCAAAGTCACCAAATTGTAGCTTTGTGCAAGCCAAAAGCCCAAAATGGAGCCCATCAGATATACGAGATACATCGATCCCATTCTTGGACGACATACTTTTTTTTCTGCTTATGAAATTTATTATTTTCATTTACAATTTTCATTATTAGATTACTTCAAATCACACCAAAGTTTATCCAGGATAGAAGCGGTAGTAAATTCAAAACTCATTTTCAGTTTCATTTTACTTCGTTATAGCCAGAGTATTGTTGATATTTATGTTTTGACAAACCAAAACTTCATACCTCAACATCCTTATTTTTAATTCTTTTAGTGTATGACTTTTTTTTTTTTTTTTACCTCCTGCCCTTCCCACGATCATTTCTATCTCTAACCATTAGATTTAAGATTCGAGTCCTGAACCTAATAGTGAAGGGAATTAAGTATGCCTAATTTCAGAATTAACACTTTTAATATTATACATCAATTGGTATTGGAATGCCTTTGTTGTTGTTTTTTTTTTTTAGGGTTTTCTTTTGGGGGAGGAGGGAGGGGGGGGGAGTGGGTTAGAGGGGGTAGTGGTCAATTCATCCATGTCTTTGCTTTTTCCTTTGATAGTGTAATTATATCCAACTCATTTCCTCACAGGTGTTGCTAGATCAAATGTGACACTTTCTTTATCATTTTGGAGTTATTTATCATTAGGAGTGACGAAAAGGTCCACCCCTAATTTTATGAGATTATATTCACCAAACGCCTCAAAAAATTATTTTTGGCACTCAAAAGTGCTTTGTAACCAAAAGTATCGCAACTCCAAACAAACTCTTAATTTTTTTTAGTACGAGACTTTTTTTTACCTCCCATTCCTCTCCATTTCTAACTATCAAACCCAAAATTCGAACACTAATAGTGAGAAGAATTAAGTATATGCTTAATTTCAGAATTAGCACTTTTAATTTTATACATCATTTGGTATTGGAATACCATTGTTTTTTTTTTTTGGTGGGGGCCGGTGTGTGTGGTGGGTGGGATTAGGGGGCGGAGTTGGTCGGTCAATTCATACATGTTTTTGCTTCTTCCTTTGATAGTTTATAACTATATCCAACTCATTTCCTCACAGGTGTGACACTTTCTTTATCATCTTGGAGCTCTTGTTCTTGTTATTAATGCATAATTTAAATGATGAAGCAGACACACCCACATCCAGTCTCCTACGGCGCGTTCAAAGGTCAGTCTTAGTCGCTTTCGTGAATCAACAGACAGAGACAATTTCCTCATCTTTATCTTCTGGAGGCTGTTTTCGCAGGCATTACTGGACTACGTCTCCTATGGCAGAATTGGTCTTAATACATACATACATTTGATTAATATGAGCAAGTTAATTACTGGACATTCCAGTCAAGCTCCATACACTCGCTAGCATTTGTTTAAGTTAACCAATTTAATTAAAGCTGTTTTTATTGACTTGTTAACCTCATTTTCTGCTCAACTTGTTAAAGTTCTTAGAACACCAACTATATAAATACGAGCTTTGGCCAATTAAAAAAATATTTGTTTCTTCTTTTGCTTGACTAAAAATCAAGTTCAAGATATATACACAATTTTCAAGTTTATTGACAAATTTTGGACAAAAGTTATATGCAAGTCGACATAGTAAAGAAGAACATATTGATGAATTAAAATATCGCTATCATGATGGTTTGTGCTCTTTGTTGGTGTGGACTTTGCATAGTCTGGGTCCCCTGGTGTCATCCATTTGTCAATGAATCAAGAATTGCATTCCCTTAGCCATTAAGAAAATGGGGAAAAAAACATATACTAATAATTCTTCATAAATTCTTTGAATGCATGTTATCAAGCAAAATAATTAATCCGTTTATTAAACAGTACCAATAAAATGTATCTTGAACAATTAGGAATGATCTATGGCCATTAAGGTTATTATTCTCTCAATCTGTATTTTTCAATGAAGAAAGTAGTGTGATTTTTATTTTGCAATGATGGAAATCGTTATAATCCAAGAGTCTAAAATACCATTTAACACAGAAAAAAAAAATCTTCGTTTATAGATTATTTGCAATGATAATTTAACTAACACTAAAAAAATTATATAAATTTAGTCAACATTTAACTAACCATAAAACTTTGCTACGCAAAACTTCCAATAATATGTTTCCAATAGATTTATTATGGATTGTAGATGCTAACCAGTAATTCTAGCAAACAAGAAAGCTTGTACGCCAAGTAACAGTGTATATTTTTCATGCAAGTCAAACAATAAATTTCGAAATCCTGACACACCTTTCTCTGGTCAAAGAAAAATAAAAGAAAAGTATGAAGAAGAAAAGAAACAAACAAAACAACAATAAAATAAAAAAAGAAAGAAAAACTCTCTATTTCTCCTTGATAAACATGAATAATGCTTTTGAATATTATAATGCAATAATACTCATTAATCATTGTAGTTTATTTTATTTTTATTCCACTGGAAGGTTCTCCCGCATAACATACGCGTACCCCTAACTGTTCTGGCACGCCCCCTTACTTCCTCCCCTCTCCTGTTTTCCCACCTTTTCAGTTTTGAGTTTGACCCACCAAAACCCTCCTACAATCCTTCAATCTTTAGGGTTTTACAAGGGTTTTGCAGGTTTTGCTCTATATATCCTATTTCTTTCGCTGATCAACCCTCTGGGCATCATAAAAATCCGATCTTTTTTAGCTCAAAAACTGGGTTTTTAATGGCTAATCCTCAAGTGGTACCAGGCATGCAATTCATGGGTCCACAACAACCACCACCGCAACCACAACAACCCTTTGGGGATACAACTTATACCAAGATATTTGTTGGAGGGTTGGCCTGGGAAACTAAGAGTGATGCTCTTCGCCGGTATTTTGAGCCGTATGGGGAGATTCTTGAAGCTGTTGTCATCTCTGATAAGAATACTGGTCGTTCCAAAGGCTATGGTTTTGTAAGTGATTCTTCTTGGGCTACCATATGAATTGTTGGTTTTTAGTTATTTTTTATTGATTTTAATTTTGGCGGCACTAAAGATTGCTTTGTTTTTTACTGAGCTGTTTAACCCTACAAGAGTTTAATGAATGAAAGGTAGACTATGTGAGGCTTGTCCAAATAATTTAGTGTTTGGTCTTTAAGGAGGTGGTGGGGAACATGAGAGATAAATACGTATATGCTTTTTCTATATAAAACATGCAAAGTGTTATGTATATGAAATTTGTGATGTGTTGCCAGACTTTGTTGCAACTTGCATGAAGTCATGTGACACCTTAAGCCACAATCAAAAGTTGCCTATGTTACACATATAAAACTTATCAAATATTGTCTCAGCATTGAAAAGAGAAAGTTTGGATTTTTAATTCAAAAAAAAGTGAACATATTGTTAAATTATTTGGCGGTGATGGAATATATGTTTCGATTATTACAGTACATGATGTTAGAGCCCAAGCATAGTTAATTACTCTTCATTACTTTCATTCCTTTACTTCTGCTTTGGCAAATCTTATTTATCAATTGATTTTCTGATTGAATGATATATTATATAATAATTCGTTGTCAATTCATTGGAAGTTAGGTAACGTTTCGTGACCCTGAAGCTGCAAAGAGAGCTTGTTCAAATCCAAATCCAGTCATTGATGGTAGGAGGGCTAATTGTAATTTGGCTTCACTAGGACGACCAATGCGGATTTTGCCATCCGGTACTTTCTTTTACCTGTGATATAAGTTGATTGTTTGTGAAGATAAACAAGAACTGACACCTGTATGTAAAACTTTCCTCTGCTAATTTTGGATGGACTTCACTAATCTAACTAAATGCTTCGTCTAATTGTTCCTATAAAATGGGTTCACTAGTAACTAAGCTAAGATTGTTTGTGAGGTCTCTTGAAGCAACTGGTGAAATTTTGCTTGGGAATGCATTGATAGCATGGTGGTCACTTGCCAATAATCCACAGCCGGTGATTGTCAAAAAGAGACGGTTACTTTCAAGTTAGGGAAGGATGATGCCAACCAAAAAGTAGTAAATAAATCCACGAACAAGTATATAGATAGTGCAAAAGGTTTTCTGTTGTGATATTCTGTCATCAAATTTCTATTTCCACTTGATATCTCTTATATTTATGTTGGGAGGACTTTAGCAATGTGCTGGTTATTTTCATTCTTTAGGGTGATATCCTCTTTTTGTGACTCTCTTGTGGAGAAAATACAAAAGATTAGCTACCATCTTGTAAGAGTTTTTTCTTTTGGGAGAACTATTCAATAAATATCTAATCTAGAAAAGTGATGGATGCTTCCTTTCTCCTGCTGCCTTCTTGGATTAATCTTTCTTTCAAATTGCTGTAGTCAAGAGTTATATGCAGACATTTTTCTTTTGCTTTAGGGCACATAAGGTCTGCAGCACCCTATTTCAGAGGTCCACAAAATCAAAGTCCCAGGAGCTTGTACGTTGGAAACCCCATGTATCAGCTACCACCTACTTATGGCTACCAACCAGGACTGCAGTTCCCTCCGTATAGGTGAGCTCTGGTAATTTACCTGGACAGTTACATAATATTAGTTTCCTGCTCTGATGGCTGGCTTTCTGGATGCAGTCTTGCACATTTTAGGTGCTATGTGAGTCGAGTAAGCACTCAAATTCCCATTTGTGAAGAATCATCTGATTCAATGTTTTTTTCATTACGTTTTCCAGGTGCTAAGTGTGGCCCAGACAACTGATTATCTTTGAATTTGGTATATTCGTCTCCAGCACTTCAAACGCACTTGGAAACTAGAAGTTTATTATAGATCTAGCTTAGTATATCAAGTTAATTTAGTTAACAATTGTTGTAGTGGGTAGTGCCTTGAAAATCTTGTCCAAAATGACTCATCCTTAGTGGATCATAGACCACTCTTTATATCTTAGCTGCTACCTTTATTCAACAGATTTGTGGTGGATTCAGTAACATGCTCTAGGTCTCAAATCATTGCTAGCAGTATATGAATTATGATTCAATGCATATGCATCACAGACACCTAAATCAGTTTTGTCCTATTGTTGATCACCTTCTGGGCATATGTAAATGGCATCTTGTTCTGATATTGTACTTTTGGGGAACGTCTCTGCAAAAGAGATAATTGTTCTCCCCTCTATATTGTGCCTCATTGTTGAGCCTTACTAGGTAATTAACTGGATGTGATTAGATTGACTAATTATGCAGTTGTACTGCATGATGGCTTGAAATAAGATGCTAGTCTCAAGCAAGTGCTTCTTATCCTGTAGCAGATTTATGTGAATCTCTGTCAATTTTTTTTTGAGGTTTTTAATAGATAATTTTGTGAAGGCTTATAGCAGTTACATGTCTCAAGCATCCTTAGTTCTCAGAGATCCATATTAAATGTTGTGAAACTCAGCTCTGCCATTCAATATTTGGTTGGTTGATATGTCAAGTCAGTAAAAAAAAAAACCTTCCAGATGATTAACTATATTCTTATATGAGCTAGTTTTGAGTGCAGTTACCTTACTTGTTTTGTTGGCGTGCTGATATTAACTTGCTGTACAGTTGAGAACTGAAATGGTCTTAGGATAATCAATCATCTTTTTTCTTCCCATTTGCAGATACCCCGCTTATGGACCTGAATTTTACTATACTCAGGTGTGTCCTTCAGTTCTCACTTGTTACTTGCCAGAATACTAGTAGGGGCCTGCTTCTTAGTTTCGCATCACGTACTTGACCCTTTATTGACTGTTTTATTCTCTCTTCATGTTTATAGATATATAGTTCTTATGTGTGTGAGCTTTTCTTTCAGATGTACGGAGTACCAGGCACTGCTAACCCAACTCCATTGGTATATGGTCAAATGGGCCATTCTCCACCTGCCAACCTAGCATATACAGCAGTCCGAGGCTACGTGATGCCAAACCCTCATGCTTTGCAATATGGAAGACCAGTTGTCAGCGGTGTGACCACAGATATAGTTTCTGCAATGCAAACCCCAAACCACCCTGGTACTGCAGAGAGACACCAATTATTCCCTATGTATTGTGTAAATATCTTACTGAAATTCTCAAGTAACTTCATTTGGATCAAGCCGCCACCAGTAATAAAAGCAAGAAGTCTCAAATTTGCTTTAGAAGAGGGAGAATAAGATGTTTAAAGTTTGGGCAACTTCTATGGAAGGGTAACTTGACATACTCTTCAAATCGAACAGTGCGAATAAATGTGTTAAAGTACCTAAAAAGTCTGCGGTAATAATTCAATAAGCAACTTGTGAAGGACAACAAACAAATAAAGTAGGCCACTCTGTCTTTCTCATATCTGGGCATGTTATTTCTGCTCATTTTTTGGGCCTCTCTAATTTGTACTGATCGAGGTTTGTGCATTTGTTGCAATATGTGATCGAAGTTTTGGCATGCAATAGTTCTGGATACTCTTATTTTGTGCTTGACCTATTTGAGGACTGCTATTGTTGGCAACATTACTGTGATTAACAAAGCTGCTTTGGGGTTTTTATTAGTAGAACTTTTAAATAACACTGACAATGTTTCTCAGGTATCCATGTACCATCTCCAGGGCCACCACAGATTATTGTTCCAACCAGTCCCCCCCAGTTTACTCAGAGCAGTGGATCTGATCAAATGGCCGGCTGAATGTACTTGAAAATGGTTTCCTCGAGGTAAACTTGCTCAAGAGTTTCTATATTTTAGGGCGATTGATTAAAGTCTTGTGTTTTTGGTCTACGTTTCTCAACAAGCATATGTAATTTTAGGTCTTTTTCAAGTGGAGGGTCACAGAAAATGTACTTTGGACATGTTTTCTGCTAACTATTATAAGAGGATGCCATCCCCTTCAGGACTACCAGTAGCTTTAGTTTTTGAAGCTTGTGCAAATTAGAAAGGAAAATTGATTTCTTAGTATGGAAAAGCTATAAATAAAGTCCACCCCCACCCCCCTCCCCCCAAAAACTGGATAAAAGTCTCTATTTTTCTTTATGGTCTGCCACTTCAAGCTTTCTCTTTGCTAAAGAACATCAACTTATAAATGATGAGCATCAATACCAATCAGCCAACTAAAAATCTTTTACCTGAATTTTAATAATATGCTAAGGTCAGCAATTCAAAATCAGATCAGTAAAGAACATTTTGTGCTTATCATGGCATGATATGTGAGGGATACAATGAATTATCATAGTATCCAAGTATTTGTATATGCTCCTGTACAAACATTCTGTACAGGCAAACAAATGAATTTTCTGCAAAGAATTAACTGTGTTTGTCTGCGTGAGTAGGGCTGGAGAGCTTGGATAGGCTAGAGAGAGGTTTGAGATTTTTTTTTTGTTTGTTTTGGTGGAGAGTAGTGGGCTTGGGCCAAGCGAGGTGGTACTATGGTGGTGGTAAAGAAGAGGGAAATTGGCCAACCAGTTTCTTACTCTGCCTAAAAATGATAAAAGTTGCTTAAAGTTTGGAATTTGTTGCCTGTATATTTGCCAGCTGGTGTTGACAGTTGAGACCCCAAGAAAATTAACTTTACCACTTGTGTGAGCTTTGGAGGTAGTACAAATTTTGTTTGGTTCAAGAAACTGGCAACTCTTTAGTTTTCGTTTCTGTAGAGCAAGAAAACAGATACTATCACCATTGACCTTTTTCTTATAGTCCTGTTATCAGAATTTTTCATACATAAACAAGATAACCTTGTCATAAGACATCCATCTAATTTTTCATTTCATTTCTTATCTTTTTCTTCTGTCTCCTAAATACCACAGTGGTATGCAGGTAATTCTTGACATGGAGGACTAAGGTACCCAGGTAGCAGGCTTCAAATCTGACCTTGCAAGTTAACTTCCCTGCATTCAAGAGGTACTGGTTCTATTGCAGCTTGAATTCTGAGAAATTGAGTTCTGAAGAGTTTGAAACCAACATGCGAATAGACAGTTAGCAATTGTTGTTGTAAACAATTACTTTCTTTAAATAACTGTGCTACTTCGGATCTACTTGGTTTTCTGGTCTTTTCCAAATCTGTTCCATATGGTCTTCATTCTGTAGGTTTATTTTGCTTAGGTACTTTTTGCAGTATTAAATCCTACAAACGACAGGCTATCACCAAGGCAATGTGCTGAGAGGTCTATACTGTGCTTATATTTTGGTTGAGTTCAATGATCAATATTAACAGATTGTGTAAAGTGGCTTTCGACAAAATTATAAATGCTTAGTCCTTTACTTCCTGATAGTTTCATTTTTCAAGAATCACATGGTCAGTCAAATTCATGTTAGTTTGACCATAAGGATTCATGACACCTGATAGAGATCTTTAACTGCTATACCAACTTCAACATTATTTTCTTTTTGTTTTCCAGTAAATAATATCTGGACTCGTGCGCTTAAACTGACTCATAAACTTCTCATTTCTTTAATCTGAATGGCTATTAGGATGGTACTGCTTGTAGTTCTCAGCAGGCGACCTCCAGTTGGTTCAAATTAGAGGCCGCCTAATTTAGGCAGAGCTTTTGTCACGGGTTCAATGATTGGGCAGGTCCTAATGTGCTAAAGAGGGGCTGCAATGTTATGTCTCGGAATTGGGACCAAATAGTTATATATCTGCCATCCTTGTGATATTGTTCATTATGTCTTGGCCCTAGACTAAAATTTGAGGGCTGTGTGTTAGTCTTCCAAGTTTATTAACCCCGATATTAAACCATTTATGTGGGACTTATGACCTGGATTACTTTTTCAGTCGTGAAACAGAATCATGTGAATTTCAACAACTGAACTTGGTATGTTTCTTGCAGGTCTTCTGAAGTCATGATCACCAAGGGTACATCGGATCATCCTGTATAATATGAGACTGCTCTGATACCTTATAACCAAAAAAAAAAAGGAAAGAAAAAAGAAGCTGCTCCGATACCCGGATCAGACGAAGGGCGTGGATTGCTCTTCTGTCAGCATGTGCAAAGGGCAGTTCTTAAGGGGCAAACTTTTTGAACTTTCCATTCTGTTTCCTTCTGTTTTTGCTACATTTAACTGACTTAGGAGGGGTAGCTCCTATTGCATCTCTCACTATCGAGTCTGATGAGTCCAAAGTGCATATTCAAGCTTGCTGTGGCAAGGTGGTCACTGCAACAATTTTTAGCCATCTCTCGGCGGGGTTGTACTGTTACAGCTCCATCCTCTTATTGTCATAACTGGATGAGACGATGACTGATTTAACGAGGATCCAGAGCTCGTGTTGGTCGCAGTCAGTGTAAAACTCTGCACAAACAAGTCCTTTGACACTGTTCAGATTTTAAATTTAGAGTAACAGGTTGCAGGATGCGGGTTTCTTGCAATCACATTCTATTGGATCAAGATATGATTCTGTAGGTAGGTCAGGTCAGGTCAGGTCTCTAGGTTCTTACTTCTTAGCTGAGTTTTAGCTCCTTTTCTTTTCTCGAGTGCTCTTTCTGGGAACATAGGCCAATATAAACAAAGGGGATTTACCTTTCGAGTACTGTATTGCGTTTCAGGACGTCTTTGAATTTCTTCTTGTCTAATTTTGCTGGTACTCTCTTAGTATAAATATGTAACTGGATATTGCATTCATATACAAAAAATGATCATGTACTATTTTCTACCTTTATTGAACACATTCCTGGACCCTAATGCGACCGAATCGCTCCATCTTGCAAGCTTGGCTATGTCTTTATCTTGTTCAGCTAGAATATACATTCAACAAATAATCGGGCCAAATTCCATCTGTTGTTCTCTTTTTTTTTCTTTCTTTCTCTTCAATTTTGGGAATTCCAACTCACCACAATTGTGGGTATTGATTGAACTACCCCCAATAAAATAAAAAAAAGTTAACGGCATCGTTTGCGTCCAAAAGGATCAGCCAAGCAATGATTAATCGAAGAACTATATAATTTTACTTTTCCAGGGAGTTGACCCCATCAGTGCAAAAATTTTTTGTTTTCTTTCTTTTCTCGGGCGGGCTCTTGTATTTTATGTATGTATACATATATATTACAATAGAGGAAATGAACTATGAAGGTGGGCTAATCTAAAGGTCTCCATCCAAAAGTCCAAAGCATAACTACTCGCTACTCGCTACTTAGTTAACTCCCGCCCGAGTCAACTCGCCTCGCCTGAGTCCCACCCAAAACCTCCGATCTCCGCCGCAAAACTCTCCGTCTTCCCATTCCAACATAATCCCCTCACTTCACCCCTACCGAGAAAAAATATTAATTTTCTTGTAAATAAACCAATTAAAGCAATGGAGGAGTACCCAGGAGAACTCCGCACTCCGCCGGTAGCTCTAGCAGCTTTGGTCGGATGCCCGGAGCTTCACTCGCGGATCACTTCTCACCTCCACGCCGAACAGCCACCAATCAACGCCCTGGCATTGCCCGATTTCTCCAAAATCACATTGTTCGCGAGAACTCCCAAAGAAAACGCCGGTCCGGGACGGCCGGTCGATGGTATTTTGAAAAGAGACTGGCTTTCCAAGCACCGGACTAAAATTCCCGCTGTTGTTGCCGCTCTCTTCAGCTCCGACCACATTTCCGGTGACCCTGCTCAGTGGCTTCAGGTCTGCACCGACCTCGAAAACCTCAAGTATGGTCCTTTTTTACATCATAACTATGTTTACTACCCGACAGTGTCTTTCAATGGACTTGATTTATATATTTCTGTAGATTATGGGTAACTAAATTTATGGTCCAGATGAATTGCTTATGTTTTGATAATTCGGAAATGGGCAGGGGAGTGACTAAAGGAAGGAACATCAAACTTATCGTGGTGGTGGTAACCCAGTCAAGCTCTAGAGGTGAGTTTTTCATGACGTGCATAAATGTAATTTTCACGTTTTGAGATTGGGTATACATCGTGACTTTATTGGCGTAAAATTGGATGCTGGGGAGTTGTTGAATTCTTTGATTTGTTTGTAATGATTTAATGCAGATGAGATTAGCGAAGATCGAATGATTGCTCTTAGGAAGAGGGCTGAAGTAGATTCAAAGTACATAATTACCTTTGTTCCTGATGATCCAGGGGAGCTTAAACAATCCCTAACCAGGCACGCCATTTCATCGATAATAGTAGGATGATGGTCTTTCAATATAGCTTGTGTTGTATATTGGTTCCTTAACAAGAATTCAATTGCAGACTCCGGAGCACATTGGGGGAACTGGCAAATACATATTACAGAGAGGAAGGGCGGCGAGTTAAAACACGTATTGATAGGAAGAGCTCGATCTCCATAGAGTTGCACATCCGCTACTGTTTTAAAGTTAGTAATTTTTAGTCTATCATGGCTCATTTTTTCTCTGTGCTTTTCATATTTGTTTTATATTTCTTGTTTAAAGCCATGTTTTTGGACAAAATAACTATATTCACGGATACCTAACATTTTGAAAGTCAAATTACCTACAACTAGCACAATGCAATGCTTAGGATCCAATCTGATATAGTTTTTATTTTCCTGGTGCTACATATGGCAGAGGATTCTTTTTGCTGTTCAATTTTCCATTCGATGAGTTTGTGAACTAACATCTGCCTAAAATGAGTATGAGGAAAATGTAATAATAAATCCTGTTCTTCAAGGTAGAATCATGTCTTCTGAAACTTCCTGCAATCAAATTTATCCTACTGTGGTAAATAAGCTGCTGTCTAAGCATTACTGGTGAAATAATATTCCCTTTACATTCCATGTTTTAAAATTCGTTCTAGTAGTTTACTTGTTTACTTTGCCAATGCAAGGATATTGGAGTTTTTACGTTCTATTGAAATCAACATGGAGCATACTATTATGCCTGAAGCAACAGAACCATTATTACGATAGTGTAAAATTTTTGCATTGCAACTAGATGCAAGTCAAGCTACAAAAGCAATTGTGAGCCTTTAAAGTAGGCTGACAAAATTAGAAATTTAATTTGTCATCCGCAAGATTCAGGATTTGTCTGGAAGTATTGATCATGATTCATCAGTAGAGTATTTCTTCACTTTCAGATCGGGGTTTAGTTGTTTTTGTGTAGAGGTCCTTTCCTCGGTTGATATAGGATGAAACTTTATCCCTGCATACTCAAATGGTATTCAATGCAGGCTAACTTTTTATGTTGATTAAATATGTTCCTAAATTAATGCATCAAAAGAGCTAACACTTGATCAGAACATGAAGGGCTGAACTCAGTATCTTGCCATCTTTCCTCTCTTGTGCTTCATATTTCTTCCTTGTCTGATTATTTGCCTGAACTTCTGTATTGCTAGGTTGGGGTATATGCAGAATTTCGTAGAGATTGGGCTGAAGCTTTGAGGCTATATGATGAAGCCTACCATTCAGTGCGAGAGGTATAATTTTCTTTCATAAGATAACAATCTAATTAGTCTCATAAAGTTATTATTAGCTCATGATAACCTTGGTTAGGCAACTGTCTTCTGCTTTATATGCCATGGTGAATAGTAGGATACAGTTTTTTTTTATGCACTAAATGATATTGTTGCCATTAGAAAGCAATTGCAACTTAGACTATAATACCCAGTTATCCATGGCAAAGGCAAGCTTACAGGAAAAAGAAATTTTCACCCGGGAGTTCTTACGGTAGTTAAATGGTGAGCTAATATGGTTGCCATTAGAAAGCAATTGCAACTTAGACTATAATACCCAGTTATCCATGGCAAAGGCAAGCTTACAGGAAAAAGAAATTTTCACCTGGGAGCTCTTACGGTAGTTAAATGGTGAGCTAATATGGGTCCTCCTTTTTATGTTAAAAGTACTCATTTTAATGTCTGTGGAAATTACTCATAAATCTCCTCCAAGCCCTCCCAACTATGCAGAAATTTACTACTTTAACACATGCCATCTAGCTTTATGGAATCTAAGTGTATTTGCAGCCTCAAAATCAATTACTTAAAAGATGTATTTAGCAGATCTCAAAATACTTGAGAATGAGTTTAAATTTCTGCACTTTGATTGCAGCTATGTAGGCTAGTTTAGGTTCATTACAATGCAAGTAGAAGAGAATATTGATTTATTCACCTTTCCAAGCTGGATGGTATTGTGCACATTAATAGGTCATATTGACGCTTATGGAGAGGAAGCCTGCTTCCTTTTGGTAAACAGCTGTTGTTTTTTACCACAAGACGAGTTCAATTGGTTCATATTATGTCTTTATCAGCTTCTCTTGACATAGATGTTGGCGTGTGTGTAGAAAACATATAGAATATGCTGTTAGGAATCATAATTCTGTTATTTCTGTGCTTGTTTGCAGATGGTTGGGGCTTCTACAAGATTGTCTCCAATTTTACGCTTAGTTGAAATCAAGACTGTGGCGGAGCAGTTGAATTTTAAAATTTCAACTTTGCTCATGCATAGTGGAAAATTAGCAGAAGCAATTATATGGTTCCGCCGCCACACTGATACTTATAGGAGGCTTGTGGGAGCACCAGATGCTAATTTTCTTCATTGGGAGTGGTTAAGCAGGCAATATTTGGTGTTTGCTGAACTTTTAGAGAGCAGCTCTGCTGCTGTCCAAAACATTTCATCTCCAACTTCAGGAACTGCAGATAAATTGACTGAATGGGAATTCTATCCAGCTTATTATTACCAGGTTTGTGGATATCCTTTCTATGCAACTTCAATTAAAATGGGCCCTAAACTCATAGTAGGATAATTTGATTCAAAAAGTGTTGTATCTTGCATTTGTCTTAGTGTTCATTATATTCTCTAGCTGGAAAAAAAGAATTTATTACAAGGGAGGAAAGTATTTGCATACAAGAAAAAACCAAAGTTGGCTTCTCAATCCCTTTATATCTCTGTCAAAGATATTTAATTAAATGCACTGAATGTAAGAATGCTAAATAGAGATGTGAACATCACTATCATATGTCATCTGGGAGAACTCTTCACTCTTCTTTATCCTAATAACAGGAAATAGCAAATTGACATCTCTATTACCTCTACATGCCTCAATCCTTTCAAGACTATTGAAAGGTGTTTTTGGGAAATTTTTCCTTGGGAAAAAAGAGAAGGGGGGGGTGATACTTGGCTCTTGCTGATTCAAAGTCCTAGCTACTCAACCTCAGAATTAGCTATAGCCAGATCATTCTCAGATTATTGGAAATGGCTAGCTAAATTAGTGTCTGCACAGAAGAATAGGGTTAGACCAAATATGTGGCCTGCTTCTTTTCCTTTTTAATTGCCTGATTCTTTTTAAGCATTAAATCAGTTTTGTAGTTGGACTTCCACATTTCTTTATCTTAATTATATCTTACTATCTACCCTGAAACAGTCAGCAGCTCAATATTTGAAACAGAAGAGTTCGTGCAAGGAACTTGCATTATCAATGTCAGAAATTGCTGATGAGAAGAATGGAAGTAACGAATCTGTGATTGATTCTGTTTATGTTGGTCAGTTTGCAAGACTACTTGAGCATGGTGGGGAGGCATTCACAATGCAACTGTGAGTTCATCTTTTGCTTGTTCTTCTCTCTCTCTCTCTCTCTCTCTCTCTCTCCCTCGCTCGACTACCTTTGAATTCCCCCACCAAAGCTTCCTGTATATATAATATGGTATCTTGTGCGTTTAGCAGTCTTACTGATGAAGAGTTTGTCCGCTACTCTCTTGCTGAGGGGAAAAGGTTCCAAGATTCCTTTGAAATAATAGCTCTT